AAGTCTTCGTGGGACTCGAGTTGTCGCTCTCCTCCTCGAGAGCTCTCTTTTGGCAGTTATTCTGAAAGGAAAGGCTTTTCGTCAAAACACTTCTCTCCACACACTTATCACTCGAACACACGTTTTCCACGACTGGTCCGCCATTAGTCGAGTCCGCGGGCATCACCTCTTTGTTACCCTCTTCGGGGGTTCCGTCGGCCGGAGTGGTCGTAGAGGCGGGCGCTTTGGTAACGGCGTTGTCGTCCGAACTGTTAGCCTGCGATTGAAACGAACGCTTTTAGTAATATTTGCGACCATTTCTGGACATACTTTCGGCGTCTTCGAGCTTTTGGTCGATTTGAACACTTCTAGCGGCAAATACTTCTCCAACTCCTTTCTCTTCACGTGTTTCGTGTCGATCGTCATCTCGGGTTTGAAGAATTTGCTGAACTTTGCCGTATTGGTCACTAAGGGTTCAAAAGTAGACCAATGAGAGCACTGCACACACAAAGCGCACGTATTTATTACCGGTTTCCACGAAGTTCTTGATGTCTTGCGTGAGGTCGACGTTAATGCCTTCGGCTTTGTTGAACTCGAGACCAATGAACCACATGGTCTCCACTTCCGTCGTCGTCTCTGTCGTCGTCTTCGGCTCTGCTTTCTCCTCCTCTCCTTTGCTCTCTCCGTCGGCACTCGTGTTCGTGTCGGGCAGAAGCGGGTCTTCGGGCGGCGGCTGCGCGACGGGAACAATGACTACGCGCGTGTAGCACTTGGGGTTGACGTGAGCCAAAGAGATGCATCGGTGGCGCTCCAGATTCTGGACGAGGATTCGGATCTTCGACTCAACCAAACCGATCCACTCGGCGTTGGACGTCGCGAGCAGAACAATGAAGTGGCGGTATTTCGTGAAGAAGTGGACCGTCTCGAAGAGCGCCGTCCACGGGGTCTTGCCTGCGGAGGACAGGGATGAGGATGGAGGGCAAAGACAACGCGCACACGACTTACCGCTCATGACTTCGTCGATGCAGTCGGAGGCGCGCGAGAACTCGTTAGTCATAATGGATTTGGTGGACGAGGAGACGTTGAAAGTGG